GCCTTGACAAAAACAGAAATTATGGATATTTTGAGAATTAAGAAGAGAAGAAGTGCACATAAGGCTGTGATAACACGTCAACTTGGCAAATTAGAAGAATATGCGGGCGATAATACGCACTTTACTACCGTTCTTGAAACTCTACGCAACAAACTTATGGCGCTGGAAGAGATCAACGAGGAGATAATGTCGCAGGTAGATGAGTTAGACATGGAGACCAAGATGCTCGAAACAGAGGACTATATGCTGGAAGTTCGGCTACGCATTGGAGATTTGGAGGCTCAACACCGCACGGCCGTGAAGATCAACCCATTCCCTTCAATGTCAAAAGTCCAAATTTTGCTTGTTCTTGCTATTATTGGCTGTAACTTTGTTATTTTTTAATGGACTGTCTTCAAACTTGGACATAATAATCTTCAAGGATAGCCCTTGACCTCCACTCATCAATGACCTTGACTTTGAAGGTCACATTATTAGACCTTCATGTTTATCAAACTCAAATTGACTTGGGCTCTTTAAACCTTGACCTTGAAGGTTAAAATTACTGAAATTACTGAATATTCACTGATTTGTGCATTAAATGACCATACATATATATCAAACTTAATCGGAAAACAATACCTGTAAACTGATGCTATATCTAATCAGATAACGCAAATAGCTTGTCCATAACAGCGAATTTAAAAACCATGGTAACGCACACCTGGCGCAGTGCGTTAATTTGCGCTGCCATCAGGCGCTCTATGATGCATATATTTTACAATATGACACATTTAGATTTCAAAATACGCCAAAATGTCATGACACATATCGTTGACGTTGTCAGAAAAAATGACTTTTTATATATATAAAAAAGAGAAGTTCGATTCCTTGTGTGGATCTCATGTACAAAAAAAGTATGTTTTGGGAAATGCAGAGTACAAAGTTCGTTAATTTTTTTTTACGTTTATTTCTGTTAGCGCTTTCAAATGTTTTTACATATCTTCAGACAGTAACGTATAATATAATCATATGCGTATATATATATAAATGCGTATATATATATACAAATACATATATATATAAATGCGTGTATATATATATTCTTTTTCTTATTTTTTTCCTCCGTTGTCGAGGGGTTAGAGTCGATGACTTCTAATCCAGTTACCTCTCTGGCGTGGGTTCGATCCCCGGGAGATGCTTTGGTAGTTTAGCGCAGAGGAAGGTAGTCTAGTACTGGTGTAACTCTCCAGGAACGATGGTTAGGAAACTACCCGCCTATATGACTGAAATACTGTTGGAAAAAGGCGTAAAATGAAACAAACAAACAAACAAAAAACTGTAATACACATGCAGATATATATGGAAAGGATTCATACTTTGACCAAACTAATTTGACAAGACAGACCAATTAAATTTATAAAAAAGAAACATTAAGATTTGTTCAAACATTACCTTGTTTGCTTCTAGAAAAAATAAAAAGTCGAGCGTTGCCCCCGCCCGGTGGTGGCTCTTGTTTAATAATGTGCCAACGGCCCCTTACTCTATTGTAACGAAATGAACTGTATTGTTCTCTTTTGTTCTGTTTACAGTTAGATGGCCCCCTACCCCTATTTGGTAGTGCGGAGAGACAGACTGATGGACGTTTCAATTACTATATGCCCTGAGAGGCACAATAAAAATCCTTGACAGCCAAGGTCAATTAAAGGTCAAGGTCACATTTAAATTATTCAATATGTTTGTTTGGTAGCAAGTCTTGTTTTGTCCAAGTAAAAATCAAATCCTTACATAAAAACAAATTTATGAAAATTTAACCAAAATTGAATAATATGATCATGACAGTCGAGGTCATTTATAGATCATGGTCAAGGTCAGTTAAACCTTTTAGAAGGTCTTTTCCAAAAGCTTGTTGTGTCCAAGTATGAAGATAATTCATTTATTAATTATCAAGTTACAGTAAATAATTGCAAAAATCAGTGAAAATTCAATAATTTAGCCTTTAAGGTTAAGGTCATATATGAGCCAAGGTCAATTTGAGTTTGATTTACATGAAGGTCTTATCCTAAAAAATGTTGTGTTATAATATGAAGTCAATCCATTTATTAATATTAAAGTTATAGCCAAATACAGATTTTCAGTAATTTGATCTTCAAGGTAAAGTTCATTTATGAGTGATGGTCAAGGTCTGTCTGCTTAACTAGAAAGTCAGCATTATCCTTAAAGATTGTTGTGTTCAAGTTTGGAGACAATCCATTCAAAAATCACAATGTTATAGCCACTAATACGAGGGATGATCAAAAATAAACCGGACTGTGACTGTCACTGAAAGAATTTTCAACCTATCACTTATTGTATAATATCAAAATTAATCGGAAAACAATACCTGTAAACTGATGCTATATCTAATCTGATGATGCAAATAGCTTGTCCGTAACAGCGAATTTTAAAACCATGGTAACGCACACCCGGCGCAGTGCGTAAATTCGCCTTGACATCAGACGCTTTATGATGCGTATATTTTACAATTTGGCACATTTAGATTTCAAAATACGCCAAAACGTCATGAACCATATCTTTGACGTTGTCAGTAAAAATGACTTCATTTAAACCATATTTATATTTACAATCACAATTCATACGTCACTTGTTAAAGAAATACTCGCGTCAAAACTAGTCTCGAAAATCAATCAATAAGATATTTTTGTTTTCAATGTAAGACGAGAAACTGTTTTTTAAACATAGAAAAAAGATTATGGCTATCAAGGGAAAGGTTGCAGGAAGCCATAGCATAATTTTTGATTAGCATAAAGGTTTAAGAAAGGGTAATAGAGAAAAAGAAAACAAGTAAGTGAGAACAAGAAAAAAGAAATTTTCAAGGCCATTGGTGACGTCAATCGCTCAGACGTTGAAAAATAACAGTCGATTGGCTGCGGACATTGTCAACGATGTTCGACAGTCGTTACGGAACGGCGCAGTCAACTCTAAGGATTTTAAAATGATAATAGTTAATGCATTTATAACATATATTGTATTCTTGGTTTACAATTGTATCAATTATTTTCTTATTTTACGCAGTAGTTTTATAAGTAATTGTGTCAACAATTTAACAGTCACTGTTCAAAATCGGCTATGCGTTTTATTTATTTAAGGATAATGACAATTTTGTTCAAAGTTGTATTATTCTTTGATTCTTTTGATTTTTTTGTATGATACATTATCATTCAGCAACATTATTTTACACTATTTGTAATACATAATATGGTTAATTGCATGTGCGATTTGTCCAGCAATGAAGTTACAGAAGGAAAGATCTGAAGTTTACGTCACTACAGGAGCTCTTTATCATCATCCATTCTATTACAATTCAATATGATACCGACTTGTAGAGAAATATATATAGGCAGTGAATCCGCCGCATCAACAACATTACTGTACCACGTATTGGCCTACTCTGTGAAGAAGTAAAAAGCTTCTCCGTTAAGGACGTCGCATGTGACGTAGTTAACGTCAATTTTTTAAGTTATACCGTGCGCTGCATAGCTTCACATGTACATGACTAAAACAGCATAACTTTTTTCTTTGTGAATATTTCTTGCTGGTATTTTTGTATCATTCAGGGAATTATAAGATTCCGATTCATTTTCCGTGTATTTTTATGTAAATTTATTTAACAGGTAAAGAATCATTTACAAAGTCCGGTTAATTTTTGATCATCCCTCGTAGCAATCAAAGCACAGAAGGCGCTGAATTTGTTTGGGTCTCAGAATGTCAGAAAGGTGAAGGTTGTGAGATTATAAACCAATTTGTTTTTGTATAGTGCCACCAATGCTTTCTAGCGTTTTAATTGTAGTATATTGACTATAAGACTAATTGCAACACTGATATTCAATTCAATGTTTATTTGACTTAAACAATTTGAAAAAAAAAATGAGTTGCTTTAACTGGGATTTGAACTCCAGACCTCTTGCTTCGTAAGCGAGCGCGCAAACCCCTCAGCCACAGTGAAGTTACAATGTACATTTGTATATATCAATGGCCTGAAGAAAACCATATTTTTCTAAATTAGTGTGTGTAACCCTTATTATTTCGACGCTAACTGTTGTTTAACACAGATGTAACTAATCATGGAGATTACTTATAAGCATGCATATCTATAGGAAATGAAACAATATTAGAAATCTTCGACCATTCGAGAACTATTTTGCTTGAAAATTAATGCGCCTGTTAATTTGACCATCTTTACGCAGTGATCTCCCCTGAATTTTTCGGCGTTAGTGTACATATACAGGGAAGTAACCGCTTCAAAAAAGCGGACTACTTTCGGCACTTGCAATTAACAGCATCCGGGTCTGAAATTTTGCTACCACTATTTGTTTGGTCTGACGACCCAAACAAATTAAAATCAGCAAAAATCAAGCAAAATTTAAACATTTGACCTTGAAGGTCAAAGTCATTTGTGAATAAAGGTCGAGCTAAGTCTGGTCTACTTGAAGGTCTTGTGGTTGTTGTGACCAAGTATGAAGACAATACACCAAGAACCTAAAAAGTTAAATTTGCAGATGGCAATGGCAAAGGGATTGACGCCATGAGTGTAAGAATACCTCTTGCTAAAAACAATTGTGAACATTAGGCTTAAAACAAATATAATGGTGGCTGAATTGTTACACTTTTGCATGTTGCGTTGTTGCTAGCTACAGCACAACAAATATTGTTTTCGCCCTTTTGTTTTGTTCCTGCGAAACATGCCAAACTGTCATCATGTCACCCTGTAGCTTGGTTTAATATATCGAAGGATATGCTTCTTATTGTGCTGTCACATGGCTTGTTGTCACGAGCATCAAGACGCCTCATGCCAGGAGACAACGCGTCATTTGGCGTGTTTCACTTGCCACAGGTAGACATGATGACAAGGAAATAATGCGCCGCTTGACGCTTTGTGTTGTTGCCAGCGACAACGCAACGGGCAAAAGTCTAACAAATCAGCCACCATAGACAAGTGTTAAATAAAAGAATGATTATACCTGCAGGTATTCTTTTGCTTGTCCAATATTCCAAATTATCAATTTATTACTTCAACACTGTCACAAGTCTGTATTTCCTAACAAGTAAAATAAAAACAATTTATATGTCTTAAAAATAAACGCTTCTTTAGCTAACGTTTGTAAGTTAAATATCCTGTAGACCTATACCAATATAACTGATTATTCCTCATCAAAGAAAATCATATCTCAAACTTCAGGAATTACTTATTATTGACAAATACTTGGAAAGTGTGTGGAATTTTTGTACAACTACTAGTCAATCACAAATAAAGGCCAAACAAATAAATTAATCAATAAATAGTTTCTTAAATCACATAAAAAAATTCTACATTTATGCTGTTTTGTACCACAGGAATACATTTACAGTAAAGAAATCAATATCCTTCAAATATTAAAATTTAAAACAACCTAAAAACATTATAAAACTAGAAGGGTTTTTGTCACAAAAACATAAACTAGAAATGTGTCCATAGGACACGGGTGCCCCCACACTCCACCGATTTTTCAATCTTATGTCTCTAGGCCAAATTTTGTTTCCGGCTACATGTGCCCAAGTTGAAAACTAAAAATCTTTTATTAAGTAAAGAGCAAATACTACAAATACTGAAAATAAAAAATAAAAATAGAAAACACGCAATTTCTAAAAATAGAAACACCTAATTCTATAAATAGTAACACGCAATTTTTAAAAATAGAAACACGCAATTCTAAAAATAGAAACACGCAATTCTATAAATAGTAACAGGCAATTCTAAAAATAGTAACACCCAATTCTATGAATAGTAACACGCAATTCTAAAAATAGAAACACGCAATTCTAAAAATAGAAACAAGCAATTCTAAAAATAGTAACAAGATATTTCTATAAATAGTAACACGCAATTCTAAAAATAGTAACACGCAATTTTAAAAACAGAAACACGCAATTCTATAAATAGTAACACACAATTCTATAAATAGTAACACGCAATTCTAAAAATAGTAACACGCAATTCTATAAATAGTAACACACAATTCTAAAAATAGAAACACGCAATTCTAAAAATAGAAACACGCAATTTCTATAAATAGTAACACGCAATTTCTAAAAAATAGAAACACGCAATTCTAAAAATAGTAACACGCAATTCTAAAAATAGAAACACGCAATTCTATAAATAGTAACACGCAATTCTATAAATAGTAACACGCAATTCTAAAAATAGTAACACGCAATTCTATAAATACTAACACACAATTCTAAAAATAGAAACATGCAATTCTAAAAATAGAAACACGCAATTTCTATAAATAGTAACACACAATTTCTAAAAATAGAAACACGCAATTCTAAAAATAGAAACACGCAATTCTATAAATAGAAACAAGCAATTCTATAAATAGAATCACGCAATTCTAAAAAAAGAAACACGCAATTCTAAAAATAGAAACACGCAATTCTAAAAATAGTAACATGCAATTCTATAAATAGAAACACGCAAATCTATAAATAGAAACACGCAATTCTAAAAATAGAAACATGCAATATACGTTGTTGTTGTTGTGGTTGTTGATGATGATGATGATGATGATGATGATGATGATGATAGATAGATATGTATAAATATAAATATACACACACACACACCAATAAATATATAATTATGGTCATTTAATGCACAAATCTGAGTAAATTCAGTAATTTTACCTTCAAGGTCAAGGTCATTAAAGAGCCCAAGCAAATTTGGGTTTGATAAACAACAATGTTCTGTTATAATATGAAGTTGATCCCTTCAATAATAGCAAAGTTACAGTCAGTTACAGCCAAAACAATGAAAATTTCAATAATTTGACCTTCAAAGACAATGTCATTAATGAGTGAAGGTCAAGGTCTGACTAGTTATTTTTAAGGGATATCCCTGAAGAAAATTATGTTCAAGTTTCAAGACAATCCATTCAAAAATAACAAAGTTACAGCCAATAATAGCCAAAAAAATGAATATTTCAATAATTTGTCCTTCAAAGTCAAGGTCATTTATGAGTGAAGGTCAAGGTCTGTCTAGTTATTTTTAAGGGATATCCCTGAAGATAATTATGTTCAAGTTTGAAGACAATCCATTCAAAAATAACAAAGTTACAGCCAATAACAGCATGAACAAGCAAAAATTGGACTTTTAACCTTGAAGGTCAAGGTCATTTATGGATGAAGGTCAAGGTTAGTGTGGTCTACTGAAAGGTAGTATGAAGACAATACACCAAGAAATAAAAAAGTTATGATCCAGGTACAAGTTTGCGGACGGGAACGGCAACGCCGACCCGACTATAACAATACCTCTACTTTTTAAAAAAAAAAAAAAAAAAGTCCAGCTAAAAATGAACAAAGGGCAATTACTACAAAATTTGGAAAGGCGGAAATCAAGTTCTTGTGCACTGCACATCTACCTATTGAGATCCATCTACCTACAAAGTTTCATGTTGATATCTCTTGTAGTTTTAGAGTTATTTCTTGGACAAGATTTTTTTTAAAGGGTAGATAATTAAACAAGAGCCCGGTTTGAGCCGGGTGATGCTCCCCTAATAGGTTTTGGACACAGGAAAGTACACCTCTTGTAGTCGTGGAAAAAGTTCAAAGTGCAAAAATCCAAAATTAGGCAAAGAAGAGTTACTGTTCTTTGCACTGTACTTATAATCAAAGTCATCTATCAACCTACACAGTTTCTTGTTGCTATCTCTTATGGTTTCTGAGTTATGTCCCGGACAACTTCAAAAAGTAAAAATAAACAAAGGGCAATAACTCCAGAATTAGGCAATGCAGAGTTATGATTCTTGTGCACTGCACATCTACCCATTGAGATATATCTACCTACAAAGTTTCATGTTGATATCTCTTATAGTTTTACAGCTATGTCCTGGACAAGATTTTTCTAAAAGGGGAGATAATTCAAAAATGAGGTTTAACAGAGTTATGGTTCTTTTGCACTGCACTTCTACTCAATGAGATCTATCTACCTACAATGTTTCATCTAGATATCTCTTATAGTTTTAGAGTTATGTTCCGGACAAAGTTCAAAGTGTTAAAATTAACAAAGGGCAATAACTCCAAACTTAGAACAAAAACAGTTATTGTTCTTATGCACTGCACATCTACCCATTGAGATCTATTCACCTACAAAGTTTCATGTTGATATCTCTTATAATTTTAGAGTTATGTCCCGGACAAGATTTTGCTATAAGGGGAGATAATTCAAAAATGAGGCTTAACAGAGTTATGGTTCTTTTGCACTGCACTTCTACTCAATGAGATCTATCTACCTACAATGTTTCATCTAGATATCTCTTATAGTTTTAGAGTTATGTTCCGGACAAAGTTCAAAGTGTTAAAATTAACAAAGGGTAATAACTCCAAAATTAGGACAAACAGAGTTATTGTTCTTATGCACTGCACATCTACCAATTGAGATCTATTCACCTACAAAGATTCATGTTGATATCTCTTATAGTTTTAGAGTTATGTCCCGGACAAGATTTTTCTATCAGGGGAGATAATTCAAAAACCGGGCAAAATAGAGTTATGGTCCTTTGACACTGCACTCCCCCTCAATGCCCTCTACCTATGTATGAAGTTTAAACAAATTATCTCCAAGGGTTTTCAAGTTATACTCCGGACAAGACAATGGACGGACAGACGGACGGACGGACAGACGGACAAGGCGCCGACTATATGCTCCCCCGAAATTTTTCGGGAAGCATAAAAATTGGGCAAAACAGAGTTATGGTTTTTTTGTACTGCACTTTTACTCAATGAGATCAATCTACCAACAAAGTTTCATGTTGATATATCTTATAATTTTAGAGTAATTTCTCAATCAAAGTCCAAAAAGTAAAAATAAACAACGGGCAAATAACTCCAGAATTAGGCAAGGCAGAGTTATGATTCTTGTACACTGCACATCTACCCATTGAGATATATCTACCTACAAAGTTTCATGTTGGTATCTCTTATAGTTTTACAGCTATGTCCGGGACAAGATTTTTCTTAAAGGCGAGATAATTCAACAAGAGGGCCATGATGGCCTTGAGGTCGCTCACCTGTATATAGGCCCCCCCAACCCCCACCCCCCCCAACATTGCAGGGCCAATTTAACCCAAGGGCTTTTATTTGCACAAACTTGGTAGACACCCATAAGAAGATGTTTCATGCTAAACATCTAAGCTCTAGCTCATTGGGCTTTTTAAAAGAAGATTTTTTTAAAGTTTTTACTATACACATATAGTTAAAAACAATGACACCCCTGGGGCCGGGCCAGTTTTGACCCCAGGGCTTTTATTTGAACAAACTTTGTAGACACTTACTAGAAGATGTTTCATGCTTAATATCTAAACTCTAGCTATTTGGGTTTTTTCAAAGAAGATTTTAAGTTTTTGCTATACACATATAAAGAAAATCAATGACCCCGGGGCGGGGCCAATTTTGACCCCAGGTCTTTTATTTGAACAAACTTTGTAGACACTCACTAAAAGATGTTTAATGCTTAATATCTTAACTCTAGCTATTTGGGTTTTTTCAAAGAAGATTTTTTAAGTTTTTGCTATACACATATAAGGAAAATCAATGACCCCCGGGGCGGTGCCAATTTTGACCCCAGGGCTTTTATTTGAACAAACTTGGTAGACACCTATTAGAACATGTTTGATGCTTAATATCTTAGCCATAGCTCTTTGAGTTCTTTAAAAGAAGATTTTTAAGTTTACTATATGCATATAGGGAAAATCAATGACCCCCTGGGGCGGGGCCAATTTTGACCCCAGGGCTTTTATTTGAACAAACTTGGTAGACACCCATTAGAACATGTTTCATGCTAAATATCTTAGCTCTAGCTCTTTGGGTTCTTTAAAAGAAGAATTTTTAAGTTTTTACTATATGCATATAGGGAAAATCAATGACCCCCCGGGGCGGGGCCAATTTTGACCCCAGGGCTTTTATTTGAACAAACTTGGTAGACACTCACTAGAAGATGTTTCATGCCAAATATCTTAGCTCTAGCTCTTATGGTTTCTTAAAAGAAGATATTTAAAGTTTTTTCTTTCGGTTGCCATGGCAACCAG